GAAGGATCTTGATGAGAAAATGGCAATATTAATGAAATTGCCCGCCTATTCGGGAAATCGTCTATTGACTACTACATTATTCATCAGTTACCTAGTGACAGAATGATTCAAGGATTCCGTGCTCGCAGTCAACTTTTGATGAAGAAATACGAAGAAAGGGATGAAGTGGAATGTAACTTGTCAGAATCGAGTGACAGCGAGGATGAGCAAGACGATATCTCAAGGTAGAACACGTTTGAATATCCCTTTGTCTCTCAGTCTGTCTGCACCTTTCTCTTTGTTAGTTTTTGTGACAATGGCATCAGGAAGAGTAGACCAGGTCTATTCTCCTAAATAACTGTTCTTAAACGAATTTTCTCCTGGGAAAGTGATTTTAGAACTAAACTTTTTAAATTGGAAAAAACTCTCCCTCACGGTCTATAAAGCATTTGAGTATTTAAAATGTATTCGGGATTTTCCTTCCTGCAAAGGTCGTGAAGAGTTTCCTGGGGAAAATTCCTAGAGCCTATTTTTCTCCGTGATTAAAAAAAAATCTGAATGTATTATAACTTTGCTGCTGGCAACCAGTTGTGACAGATATGTTTCTCCCAGGAACCCGTCGGTCCCTCGTGATGGAATAAAAAAAAACTGAATCCTTTTTTATGTTTCAAACAAATCTTAGACAGGTTTGTTGTTTGAAAGCATTCTTGACAGCAAAGAACACTAATTTCGCATGTTAACATTTCCTCCATGTTATTTGTTATTCATGATATTGATGGTATTTTAGAGACCTTGGAAGGACTTGGAAGGTACGAGGGACTTTTAATAACACTAATTTCGCATGTTAACATTTCCTCCAATGTTATTTGTTATTCATGATATTGATGGTATTTTAGAGACCTTGGGAGGACTTGGAAGGTACGAGGGACTTTAATAACACCAAAAAGCCAGATTATAGTCGATGTAAGTACTACTGTTTAGTAGCTGAAGGAATAAAAGTTTTGTTTTTGTCTTTGTTTTGGTTTGGTTTGTTTTGGTTTGGTTTGTTTTGGTTTGTTTTGGTTTGGTTTGGTTTGGTTTGGTTTGTTTTGGTTTGGTTTGGTTTGGTTTGGTTTGGTTTGGTTTGGTTTGGTTTGGTTTGGTTTGGTTTGGTTTGATTTGGTTTGGTTTGGTTTGGTTTGGTTTGGGTTTGGGTTTTGGTTCGTTTTCGTTTTTATTCTTCAATTTTCGTTTTTGTTTGTTTCGTTTCGCTTTACTTTTTTGTTTTMGTTTGTTTCGTTYCATTCCGTTTTGTGTTTTTTRAATTACTGATTTCCTYTGAAAGAATGCAAGCAATGATGTYCTGGAYGAATTGAGGTCYAGTACMCAGGTYATGAGTAAAGAAGTCCATCAAACAGAAGTCAGGCTTGAAGATGCACACCACAAGCTGAGAGATCTTACTATCAACATCAGGTTAGACTCAGTTGAAACCATTCGAAAACTCCTTTCGGAATTCCCCGGGATATCTACGATAMCGTTTTGRAAATTCCACGCTTTTATTGTTTRCAATMTACTACTCATGTTGATGTACGTTGTCAAAAACTTAATTTTTTTCAGACAAAAAGAGAAGTTGATAAAAGAACTCGTAAAAAGTGAAGAAGAGGAGAGAAAAATGAAAGAACATTTTTCCAAAAAGGTCGACAACATGAAGCATGAAGTAGACAAAGCAAAGCGAGACGTAGACGAGGCGAAGAAAGCCTTGGAGCAGATAGAATGCAAGGCAAATATCGAGATGAGCGAGAAACAGAAGGCTGAACAGGATTACAAGAAGAACTTGCAGCTTATGGAGTCAAAAATACAAGCATTGCAACGAAAACAGAAGGTACCTTATTATCAACACTGCCATCTTAAATCGTCTTGTTTTCATTGTCGATTAGTTAAGATACTATTGGACGCCCCAGGGGCTCCCTGCGAGAAATTCACGGACTGCAAAAGTTTAAGCATACTCAAACCTTAGGGAAGCAAGAGTGGCCGAGCGATGAGAGCACCGGCCTATCACCGCTGTGGTCCCGGGTTCGATTCTGACTTGGGATCATATGTGGATTGAGTTTGTTTCCGTTCTCTTCCTTACTTCGACGGTCTTCTCTCCGAGTTCTCAGGTTTTTCCTCCCTCAGCAAAAACGGAACATTTCGACCCCTAGCTGTGCTCTGTGATCAGATATGGGTCGTTTGGTTGGCTGCTTTGTGTATATGTTGTAACTATGTGATTGTCCTCATAATGATAGCGCCCTCGTATACCGCATAACCACCTCGATCACGTGAGCCGCGTCCTTCGTAACTCAGCACTCAGGATGCGAGTAAGGACAATTGGCTATCACCAATTATAGTTAATTATAACAGTTCTATATTATCAAAGGAAAAAACGCTATTTAAAAAATAGCCTAATTGATTTTTTTAAAACAATAATTCTTATTTGAAATCATCGAAATTATCCGTCGAGAAAGTAATGTTTCAGTACCATTTTGTTCGACATTGTTTTCCTCTTCCCAAAATTCCTCCTACATTAGTATTTACATTGCTATTGCATTTTATAATGCTTGAGCATCGAATGACATCTTTTTAATCTTTACATTTTGTTCACTATTCAGGATAGCGAGAAACTAAAGACATTCCACGAAGAAAAAGCCAAGAAAGTCAAAGAGTTTGAAGGTCACATTGAAAGAATGAAATCGCAACAAGAAAGCCTGGGCAAACGGTTAAAAGAGGAGAGTGATAAGAAAAGTAGACTGGAACGAGAAATGAGTAAACAGCTCCAGAGAATCAAAGAGCTTGAAGAGCAGTCAGAACAACAACAAAAGATTATCCGACGCAAAACGGAACAAGTAGCTAATGCACAGAGGAGGCTTAGAGGAGTCAGCAAGCAGGGTTCAGACGACAAGCAAGGGTAGGACTTACAGTGAATTTTCGCCTTGTGGACCCCTCGATATTACGCGCTTTTCAAAGAATCCTCGCTTTTAAAGTGTAACACCATTAGAAATTCATTCTCATCCAAACGAGTTATGGGCAATTGTAACTTAGAAAATGCAAATGAAATTATGTCTACTAGGGAATGATTCAATATACAAAATCATGAAAGAGAACGCTATTCTTTTTGTTATATTGATCAGCTGTCAATTATTAGTATGATTGTTAATTTGAGCTCTTCAACCAAGAACAATATAACTAACACAAACAATGTAAGAAGTCTGGACCAATTCCTTATACACCCTTTTAATAAGTCCCGAGGTATTCTTTTCTCCGCACTTTACGTCAAATTTATTCTTTTGAAATTTTTACTATACAAAAGAAAYTSAAAAGAATAAATTTGACGTCAAGTGCGGAAAATGTAATATCTCGGGACTTATTAAAAGGGTGTATAGTTGACGTCACTTCATAACTCGGAAAATACAATTCAAAATCTAATTCTTTCTTCACAGAAGTGCTTGGCAGCGTGTTATCTTTCGGATTAAAGTGATTTTTTTCTAAAAGGTGTCATGTGCACTTTAAAGCAATGTTTCATTTTTAACCCTCATTATGGCGAAGTGTCTGTCGTACGACTTCCATATATGG